CCGCCCCCCGCCCCCACGCCCCCTCTCTCTGACAGGGCCTTGCTGTGGTGACCCTCTCATCTCAGTCTCCCAGCGGGATGACGCGTGCACACCACCGAGCCCGGCTCTTTTCGCAATGAGGTCTCGCCATGTTGCCCAGGCCAGCCTTGAGCATGCTATCCCCATGGCTCAGCCTTCCAAGTCGCAGAAATTAGAGTGCAAGCAACCTCACCCGGCCTTCAGGTGGGAGCAGCAGTCAAACCCTGGCCTACTGTGTGGCCCCACCCCGCGGAGCACAGCGTCTTAGCGCGCTCCACCACAGCTGGGCCCGTTGTCTCTAGCTCTGAAATGCTGTGAGATAGATCCGGAGCACGCTTCCAGTGGGATCTTATTCCAAAACCAGTCAAAGGAGACAGCGGAGAGAGGGCTTGCCATGAATGGCACGGAGGTACAGCAGGAGCCAGGGCCCAGACGTCAGCCGGATGGTGCCGACCGCAGCGACAGAGACGCAATACCATGGTATCTACGACGAAGCCAGCACTCGTGGATTGGAAAGAAACTTCGGCGGACTGCTATTTCCCAGAGCCACCTTCAGGCCCTCTCGGGGTTTCGGGCTCGCCATTTCCAGATACTGGAGGGCTAGCAGGTTGCGTGGACAGTAAGGCACTGGATCCCACGTGGCTGATTGCGAAGTTCAAGTCCCGGACCTGGTGACTTGAGAATCACACTGGGCATGCCTGTGTGTGCGCGCGCATGCCTAAAACTGCAAAAGGAGAATGGAGGAAAAGGGTAGCCTTACCCGGAGAGGGCGATTTTCTCCCTCCGTACCTCTCTCTCTTATCTCTGTCAGTGATAGAGACATACCCTATAGAAAACAAACAAAGAAAAAGACAGTGAGCAGAGATCACACAGACGTTTTCCAGGAGGAAAAACAGCAGCACTGTAAAGCCAAGTCGAAGAAATACGTTTTAACACGACAGAGACAGCAGTGAGCACCGCGAGCCTGGGTGAGCCGGTACATCACACGACCGTGTGACTTACAGAACAGCATAACATGAAGAGAAAACGTCCAGACACGAGGGACAATGGGCAGGGAGGTGATGAGAGTGGGAACTGAAAGTCTTTTCTTCCAGGTTAGATCAGGTAGTCAAATAAATCAGAGCATGGGCTATGTGCCTAGGTTGGCACAAGCAGAGGCAGGCCTCGCTCCTGTCTTACACAAAATTTTCTAGTGCCTTTGAGATATTACAAAAGTCACACAAACCAGCCACAAAGATTCAGTCAGTTAAGACAATGTAGCGGACACATGTGCGAGCCGCATCTATCCGACCACAGCGCAACGAAACCAGAAACTGAGTTTAAGCCCGGGTGCCCTCCCAGCGGCTTCTGAGCATGAGCACTAGGCTGAGCTCTGTAAGGGCTTTCTCCGGGGCCCCGCCCTGCCCTGGCCCCGCCCCTCAAACCCCATGGGTCCCGGCCTTCTCCCTGCAGTTCCCTCCCCAGGCACCCTCAGCCCTGGCTCCAGAATTCCAGCCTTGATGTCTCTGGGCTGGAATGGAGGCCTGAGCCCTGGAGGCTGGGCGTTCAAGGGGAAGATGTGGCCAGCACGTTACTCCCTGTGAGGGCGTGCGCGCCGGAGAGGCAGTACTGATAACACCCAGGAAAGCCCGGTGGGTCCTGCCCCAGAGCCAAGGGCATCTCTATTTATTTTTTGAGAGGTCGTTGCTATAGGGTACGTGTGTTCACCAGAAAGACAGAGAGAGACAGAGAGACAGAAAGCGAGAAATCACCCCCCAGGGGGGATGGCGACACCACAATCCCTTCTCCTCCATTCTCCTCTCGGGATCTTGGGCACGCACGCACATGCACCCGGCGTGAGTTTAAGCCACCAGGTCCAGGACTTGAACCACGGTCGACTACATGGGAGTCCAGCGACATAGCCATTGCACCAAGCATTTTAAAAGCAGGAAGGGCCAGTGTGAAAGGGCCAGAGAATTGGGAGGGTGGGGTCCAAATGCATGCTCAAATCCCAGAGTGGAAGAGAAGGAACTGCAGCCCTGCACCCCTCGTCTCTCATCTGTCTGTGTTAACAATAGCACCTCCGGGGACAGCTGGCCCAGGCAACCCCTGAGGAGCTTAGCTATCTGCACCAGAGGGCCAGGTGGTCCTGGGCGGTCCCCCTTGTTTCTCCACCCTCCACTCTTTTCCCTGGACTCCTGGCCCAGTAGCCTGCATCCACGGCTCCTTCCCTGCTCTGCGGCTCTCAGCTCATGCAGCCACGTCCTGGGAGCAGCGTGCTCCTCTCGCCCTCCCGGCCTTGGGTGGCCACAGCTCTTCGCAGGGCTGATGCAGCTCCAGTGCGATCTCCCCACACCGGCCGCACCCTTGTAAGCAGGCTCCCCAGACTCGCAGAGCCCTGGCTGAGGTGGTATGTGTGGCCTGGGGTAGTAAACTGGGGACGGGGGAGGAGAGCTCCCAAGGTCACACAGCTGAAAAGACCAGGCCACGAGTTCAAAGCCAGAGGACTCACACCTGTCTTGCTTTTCCCATTATTCCTGCGCCTTTGTGTAGCCCCCTGTTTCCTTCAAAGGGGAAGATGCAGGGCTGAGAAGGGTCACTGGAACGGCCATCAGCCTGAGCAGGGTAGGGTGGCCCCCTCCAGGCAGCAGCTGAGGTGGGCGACCAGGATTTGCTACGAGGGCGGCCAGAGCACAGACGCACTTGTGTGACCTGCTGTGTCCGGGAGCGACCTCACCCTGCAGACAAGGACACCAAGGCCTGGGAGCAGCCCCGCCTCCACAGCTGCCCCTCTAGCGGCGGGTCTAGTTATGGGCCCCCGTCCCACCTGACGCCAAAGTCCTTACAGTCCTCAAGCATCTGCCTGGTGGCTGGGAACTGTCTACACTGCACGTGTGCTCACATACCGTGGAGCCATGGAGCCCAGCCTCCCGCGTGGTGATGAGCAGACCGCTCCTGCCCAGCCCTGCTCCGCCCACCCTAGGCAACACCCCGCCAGGGGACCCTGGTCTTTCACCTGGAGGAGGTGCCGTCATGGCCGCTCCACAGGCCAGGCTCAGGAAAGTTAAGACTCTGCCCGAGCCCCTCACTTAGCAGGCCCAGGGGCTCACTCTGCGGTGAGGAGTGGGCCCTGAGGTCACCTGAGCCCACCTAGAAACCCAAGGCAGTGAGGTCCTCCAACTTCCGCCCCTGGATCCACTCCCATGGCCCTGGAGGCGAAGCCGTCTGCTCCTGAGGAGGCAGCGGGGGCTCAGAGAGGCTAAGTAAGCCTCCGGCGCAGCGCAGCACCAGACGGGGGTCTGACTCAGCTCCCTTCACCCTGGACGTGCTCTGTTGACCTTACGCAAGAGAATCACCCCGGCTTGCTGAAAATCCAATCTCAGATGCCCCCGAAGCAGTAGGGGTAGGGGTCTGGGAATCTGCATTAAACCGGTTTGTTACGCTCCTCCCCCGTCCAGGTGATTTCTACGCCGTGGCGAGTTTGAGAAACGCGGTTCCAATGACGCAGCGGCTCCCGAGGCTCTCAGAGCCCTGGGGTCCCCCGCGAGCTCGGGGCGGGCGGGGCAGGCGCGCCAGCACCAACCACTCTGTGCGCAGCCCCGCCCCGAGGCGGGGCCTCACCTGCGGAGGCAGGTAGGCAGCTACCTGGTAACCCCGGCCTGGCCCAGGAGGCTTGGGCGCGCGCAACCTGCCGGCCTCGCTAGGACCGAGGGGCGCGGGCAGGGCCGCTGGCGGCCCGACCGAAGGGGCTGGGAGCCCCCGCGCACTCATCATGGCCGAGGGGCCCTTCTCCAAGTTCCTGCAGAAACTCGCCTTCTGGGATGCCGGCCCCCAGTACCAGGCGCTGGAGAGGGGCGAGGTGGACGACTTGGTGAGTCTGGGGGACCAGGCGCTGCGCGGACCTGACCCCTCCCCACCCCACTCTCACCCTAACCCCATCTGCTGGCGGTGGGCTGCCCAACTCGCCTCCTCCTGGCTAAGAAGCTGTCTTCCTAGCAACGCAAGTGCCCACTCCTCTCTGCTCCGCAGGGAGCTCGCCGGTTACCCCTCACCCAGTAGCCCATTTTGCAGATTAGAAACTGAGGCCCAGAAAGGGTAAGGATGTTTCCTGAAGGGCACACGGTGAGTGACCTGTCAAGGGACTTCGCCTAGGTTTCTCTGACTCCAGGGAATTTCAACTCCTGGCTCTCTGGATCCAGGCTGCTATACGACTATTTTAAAACTTTTTTTTTTTTGAGAGGTTTTTGCTATAGGTTGTGTAAGCTTGCCAGACAGACAGAGAGAGACAGAGAGATAGAAAGCGAGAAATTACCCCTCAGGGGGGATGGCCATGCCGCAATCCCTTCTCCTCCATTCTCCTCTCGGGATCTTGGGCACGCACGCACACGCACTAGGAGTGAGTTTTAAGCCAAGTCCCGGGTCCGGGACTTGAACCACGGTTGACTACATGGGAGTCCAGCGACATAGCCTTTACACTAACTGCTGGTCCCACTATTTTAAAACTTCTTGAGCTGGAAAAAGAAATACTAAAGTGATGTTAAAAAACAAACCAACCAACAAACAAAAGCGCTGGTTCTTAGCAATGCTGGTAGAAATTAAAGCCAGAGTGGAGGGCCTCCCTGCTGCCCTGCCTCTGTCATCATGCACTTTTGAACCACTGAGTTGTGTTGACTTTGCAACTGCCAGAGGACCCCCAAGGATAAACCCCCAGGATTTGAGGGCAGGGAGCTCATTGGGGGCAGCGACTCGGAATAAAGCCCTTCCTGGTGCTCCGCCTCCAGAAGGCAGCGCAGAGGTTCTCCCTAGCCTGGCAAGCAGGGCCCGGGCGTGACTTGGGGGGGAGGGGGACCCAAATGCCTGCACGGTCGTCCCTCTGTGCACCATGGGGTCTTGTCCCTTTCTCTTTCAAACTTGTCCAAAAATAAATGTCCGAAGACAACCCCCTACCCCAGCTTGCATGGCCTTTTACCAATAAAGGAAAAATCTCAAAGTCAAAATCATATTTTAATGAAAAATAAAACCAGCTGAAAATGCTTAAAAGTTAACATTTTTCTCCCAAAGAAGCCCCACTGTCGAAACATTTGGGTTGTGTGATTCTTACATAGTCGTGCATTTTGAAAATAGGGTTTACACATCGGCACTGACCTGAAAATGCTGGCATTAACCGGCTGGACCACGGGACTGCGTAGCTGGCAGCCCGGTCTCCGTGTGTGCGAGGCGGCATGCTGGCACCCGTGGGCTGTGGCATGCCGGAGTGTGCTGAGACGCTCCCGGCAGTCACTGCTCTGGGACCCGTCAGCTAAAGGAGCCTGAAGTTAGTTTGGCAGCTCAGGACGCCTCTCCTGTGTTAGCCCACCTATGGTTTTCCTTTTCCTCCTTTGATTGGTACCGGACTCGGTATCGTTTAAGCCCTCCTGCTGAGTGGGTCCAGTCAGGGTTCTGGGACGCTCAGGTATGCGAGTGCAGGGCTGGGGTGACCTGAAGGTCTAGGAGATCCTGGGAGAGTTTGGTCTCTGTGCCAGGTGGACTCCATCCCTCCGAAGCTGTCCAGGAGGGCCCTCGAAGGTCCAGCAGGTACTCAGCCTGTGTGGGTATACACCCCCACCTGCTGCACCCTGCAGGACTCGCTTGAGTCTTAGGGTGTGCGGTGGCTCAGCTGGGAGGAGTGACGGGGAGCTTGGCGAGGCCTGCCGTCTCCAAAGGGGCCTTGTGCAAACCAGGGAGTTGCCGTAAAGGTGGATGGGGAGGGAGGGAGGCGGCCAGGTGCCTGTTTCCTGCCAGGTCAGCTCCCGCTCGAGCACCACCTGTGCGCTCGCCCCTGCGACCTCTGATCTGAACGCTTTTTCTCTGGAGAAAGTTTGGAGAAGCCACGTTCGTTAGGGCGATGGCTTCCGCAGGAGCCATAACTCATGAACACACACCGTGTGCACACCCTGGGTACCGCCTGTGGCCTCTGGCCTCCCTGTTTGCCGAGCTCCCAGCTCTGACAGTCTCACCTATGGGGACTCTTATCCCTGGGGGAGCTCTCTCATAATCCCGCGACAGACGAGGACCTGGGCCACTTCACTCGAGTGCTGGGGGTACAACTGGGGACAAAGTCCACAGAGGAGCCTGGCAACCAACAGAGAAGCCAGGAGATGCCTCGTGTTCGGCCCATGACCTGCGACGTGACAGAGAACGGGCGAGGTACTGAGGGGCCGCGTGGACGGAACAGGGACCTGGGCAGACCAGGCGGCCCCGAGGCTCTGAAGAGGTGCGTGCTCTCCGTAAGGAGAGAAAGACATTTGCGGGATCCCCTCAGTTCAGCCACTGGGGAATGCGGCTCTGTGCTGACCTGTGCGTTAAAGAGGACACTGGGTCAGAACTTCCTACTTCTGGGTGGCGTGGCGCCAACCTGGGAAGCTGCCTGTACCCTCCAAGGCTCCCATCTCTCTGCCCGGGTGGGCTCGCTGCACCTGCCTCCCTTCCCAGGAGAGCTGCCTCATGCTCCTGGGCCCTCTGGACAGAACGTGGCGTGGCCACTTGTTCATCCCGCCCAGGTTCACGGAGAACCTGCTGTGTGGCAGGAGGATGCATGCCAGCATCGGGTGCCCTCGTGGTGGGCAGAGATGCGTCCCGACAAAGGTCGCAGCTGACTGCTGGGTGGCAGGGGTGTGAGAGCTGGGAGGGAGAGGGGTGCGGCCGGGGAAGAGCCGCTCAGACTCTGTGGGTGGCTGGTTGGACTGCAGGGCTGGAAGCCACGTGGCCGACCGTGGCTCAGGGTTCCCAGCGTGAACCTGAAACACGCCAACCACACGTGCATGTACCTAGGATCCTGAGGAGCTGGCAGGCTGGGGAAGGGGACGGTGACATCCAGACCCTGTCGAGGGTGCTCACCTCTCTCTCTGTCTCTGTCTCTCTTTCTTGCGCACACACTCTGTCCTGAATAGAAAGAAAGGGTCCCAGGAGCGGCAGAGGTTTGGGGGCATGTGCTGGCCGAAGGTCAGGAGGTAGCACTGTGGACAGAGGGTGTGAGGCAGGGGTCGTGGGCGAGCGTGTGCCCTCTCCCCAGGCCACACAGAGCTACCCAGGGGCTGTGAGCTGAGATGACCCGTTCGCTGCTTCTCAGCTGTGCCACACGTCGGGAAGGCGTTGAAGACAGCGGGCACAAAGAGGTGCGTGTTTCAGCTCAGTTGCAGGCAGAGACCGCACAGGGGGGCGGGGGTTGAGGCTCACACCTCACATAGCACTGGGAGTTCTCAAATTTCTCAGCGTGTGGACATCTTAATGGACTACAACGTCTCGGTGTTGCTTTAAGAAGTTTGTATTAAAGTGTGACTTTAATGAGGATAAGCATACATTTATAAGCATAGTGGTGTGCCTATACCTCAATAAAATGAAACTGAATTTATGGTGGGGCAGCCAGTGGCATGGCGGTTAAGGTGGCGGATCCCACATGGCCAGCTATACAATTCAAGCCTTGGACCCAGTGGCCTGCAAGACACATGGGTGTGTGCGTGCCCAAATCCCAGAAGGAGCTGCAGCCCAGCCACCCCCGGGGGGCGATTTCTCACTGTTCCTCTCTCTCTCTCTCTCTGTCTCTCTCTAGCAAGCACACATGCCCTATAGCAAACATTTTAGAAATTAAATTTATAATAAAATTATACAGTACACATGTGGGTCTGCGCCAGCTGCCTTGAACAGACAGCGGGACTGCACAGGGCGACCAGTCGGGAGGGGCTGAGAACACCCGGAACAGCCTTTTTATAACCTAACCTCAGCAAGGTCTCTCAGCTTTTGCCTCGGTTTTTATTCTAAACAAGTCCAGGTTCAGTCCACGCTCAGAGGGAGGGCATTATGTGAAGGCTGAGTACTGGGAAGGGTGGAGACTGGGGCAGCCCGGGGATACCTAACACAAGGGCAGGAAGGATTGTTTTTTGAAAGGTTTTTGCCTTAGGGCCAATGCGATCACAGGAGAGACAGAGTGAAAGGGGTTCTTAAAGGAGACAATTGGCCTAGCAGTTGGCATAATGGCTGTGTCGCTGGACTCCCATGTAGTCGACCATGGTTCGAGTCCCAGACCCAGTGGCTTAAACTCACGCCGGGTGCGTGTGTGTGCGTGCCCAAGATCCTGGGAGGAGAAGGGACTGCCGTGTGGCCATCCCCCCGGGGGGTGATTTCTTGCTTTCTGTCTCTCTGTCTCTCTCTGTCTTTCTAGCGAGCGCTCGCGCCCTGTATCTCAAAAAAAAAAAAATAAAAAGGAGACAATTTGCATACACAGCTTAGAACTGCACCTGAATGTCCTCTCTCCCCTAGTTACTATCTCTGGTCCTCTTCTTCAGAGCTTGGGGAAGGCCTGTGCTAAGGATGCTGTCTACGTGGATCGTGCACAAAGTGGCGTTTAGATGTGGTGGGAAGTTGTCTACGAGCTTAGACTGATCAGCCTCAGACCCCAGTGCCAGGCCCGCCGCCGAGTGCCAGCCTTCGAGGCTGCCGTTTGGTAACTGGCTGGTCCTCTGGAGGAGAGCGGTGAGCACTGGCCATCGCCGAGCGCGCCCTTCTCCCCACCGTGCCCGTGTCTCTCCCACGTGGTGCTCGCTGGCGGTGGCAAAGGCCACCTCTGTGCGAGGCCCCCGGCTCACGCCGAGGTGTTCTGACGTCGCACTGGAAGCTCCTCTGGGTGCTCCGCCATCACTTGGCCCCCCTGCTGACGGAGAAGCTGTGACTTGACAGTGTGTGATGTGGTTGTCACCGACGTGACAAACATCCTGTGGTCCCCTCACAGTTCTCAGCTCTAAATGGCCCAGGAGGTCTGTGTCAGTCTGCTACTCGCCGAGGTGCACGCGTGCGTGAGTTCCCGGGAAGCGCACGGGCTCTCCAGAGGAGGCAGTG